TAGTTAATGGGAGGGACGTGGGAGCCCGCATGGAACTCGACCCCCAACCCGCTCAAACCACCCCAGAATAACGACCACTCATTCTGCAAAGTTTGATGAGGACAGACACAGTTTGAACCATATCATCGCCAGAGATATCCAGGTGCAATCATTTAGAGGATGACCTCTTCATGCACACTGCACGTACCATCAAGATGACGAAAAGATATATATCCTGACAAACAACACTGAACTGATCAACATGTAATTAAATCTACAATAGACTATTTAACATTTCCGAAGACCTACATATAAATCTCAATAAAACATTAACGTTGAGTAATTAGATCTTCAAAAATCATCTACTTAATATTCACCATAATCATTAATTCTTGTGTTATCGTTATCGCCACTTTCATCAGTGCCGCAACTGCTCATATTGCTTTTATTACCATTGCTTTACCACCTCCTACAACTAGTACTACACTATTGCTACTACTACTGGCATAAGGTCAATTACTGTCCTTTCTGACTGTAGTGCTTGCTACAATTTATTTTCCCCTTTTCTACTACAATTTTGGTCCCTTATATTTCAGCTTTTGCCACTATTAGTCACTGCGGACGCTACGGGGTCCCAAGACCCAACAAAGTCAGACCAATCTCGTAAACAACCTTGTCTTCGAGCTCTGATAAATCTCTCCGCAAAAAATCTCAAGTTACAAAATTATAATGACAGACTGAGGCGTGCATAAATTTGAAGCCTTATTTTCCAGCGGGCCAGTTACGTATTTACTACCCTTAAGTTTTTGAAGCAAAAATTTTTTTTCTGTGAGAAAAAGAGGAAGAAAGAGAGAACCAGAGGGAGATGGAGAGAGAGAGAGAGAGAGAGAGAGAGAGAGAGAGAGAGAGAGAGAGAGAGAGAGAGGGAGAGTGTGTGTGTGTGTGTGTGTGTGTGTGTGTGTGTGTGTGTGTGTGTGTGTGTGTGTGTGTGTGTGTGTGTGTGTGTGTGTGTGTGTGTGTGTGTGTGTGTGTGTGTGTGCGTGTGTGTGTGTGTGTGTGTGTGTGTGAGAGAAAGGGAGAGAAAGATGCGGTCAAGGTGAGTAAAAGGAGATGGAGAGTGAACCATATCTTCCGCTTGGGTGAAAGTCAATACTGAGTACGTGATACGGGTACACAGCCGAATGTCAGCGGTTGTAAAATCTAAAAGAAGTAGAGTTGAAATAGGAATCATTCAACCCAAAAAAAATAAGAGAAAAATTATGAGAAATGACAATAATAATTGAGAACAAATATGACATTCCAACATATGTCAATACATCTCTTCTGAGTCTCTATCTATGTCTCTCTGCCTGTTTCTTTCTCGGGTCCTTTGTGAATGTGTCTCTCGGACTTGCTGTTCTTTGTCACTCTGTGTCCGTGTCTCTGCGACTGTGATTATGTGTCTACCTGCTCCGTGTCTCTGTCTGTGGGGCTCCTTTTCTGTGTCTTAGGCGCTCTCTGTCTGAGTATGTTAACGTCACTCTGTTGTGTCTTTTTCGTTCCCTTTCTGTTGATATCTTGCCCTCTTGTATAGTGAGTCTGTGTAACTGTCTTTCTGTCTCTGTCTTTCCGTATTTTAAGTATCAACATCAGAATAGTGACGCCACGAAAGAGGCAATCAGTTTGATAAATTTTGATCGTAGGAGTAAATGGGATGATATCTTTTACAAAACTGGAAAATTAAAAAAAAATGATTTGTGTGAGGGATGAATGGAGTGATGAGGGATATTGAAAATCTATAACGAGTAAGTTAAAGACAGAAAGAGGGGGCGAGAGAGGGAGAGAGAGAGAGAGAGAGAGAGAGAGAGAGAGAGAGAGAGAGAGAGAGAGAGAGAGAGAGAGAGAGAGAGAGAGAGAGAGAGAGAGAGAGAGAGAGAGAGAGAGAGAGAGAGAGAGAGAGAGAGAGAAGAGAGAGAGAGAGATAGAGAGAGAGAGAGAGAGAGGGGGGGCGGGTGAAAAAGGGTTATAATATCTTGATAAGGAATTTAGGAAGAGAATTTAATGTTAAGTAAATATTAACAAAATTTCCAAGAGAGCGGAGAGATTCGTAGAGATTATATGGAATGTAAATTGCTTGGAAATATTGTTGAAAACAGGATGCGGCAATGTTAATGTTACTTCATATGACTCAGTGTTAGAAAAATGTTTTAGTGTGAGCTTTGACGAGTGTCCCACAGTTCTGTATTGGGACCTCTTTAATTTATCAAATATATGAACGAGTTAGACACAGGACTGAACAGAAACATTTGCATGTTTTAATTCAGTTAAAAAAGGGACTATGAATAAATTCCAAAAACTGAGATTCCAAAATCCGAGTACGAGCTTAATTACGAGAGCATAATTAACATTCTCCAGAAAGACGAAGAGTTAGGGGATGTAACTGGAGTATACAAATGTATGTAAGAGTACCAAAAGGGGTTACTAATAAGTTGTTAAAATTAAATGTATCAACACAAAACAAAATACGAATCAATAAATACAAACTGTATAAATTTACATTTAGAAAAGACCTAGGTAAATATTAGTTGTGAGATGAAGAAGTTCATTTATGGAACATATTATCAGGTAAAATAATAGGTAGAACCGTTGGATTGTTAAATTGAAGGTTAGACATGTACACTAGTTAGCGTCTATGGGGATAAATAGAACGGTCTCGCAAAGGCCAGTGGTCTAGTGGTTATGGCACTCTGTACGTCTAGGGGTCATCATGGCTGGGTCAACAGCAGAGTTCATAGTGATTAATGGCTCGAGCGTTTATTCAGCCTTTGTGTCACACACACACACACATTATATATATATTATATATATATATTATATATATAAATATATATATATATATATATATATATATATATATATATATATATATATATATATATATATATAAATTAAAAAAAATCTGTGGCGCTGCCACCCACAGGGAAGTAGCCAAATCCCGTAAGTATAGAGAACTTGATTACCACTACAATTTTGGCCCCATTGCTTCTGAGACACTCGGCGCCTGGGGTAAAAGAGCTACCAGTTTTTTGAAGGAACTGGGATCTAGGCTCATTGAAACAACAAGGGACCCTACAGCTGCCAGCTTTCTTTTCCAGCGTCTCAGCGTGGCGATACAGAGGGGAATGCGCACTGCATCTAAGGAGCTGGAGGAACTCGACAATCTATGATAACCATCTTTGTAACCTATATGTAACTCCTTTTTTGTAACAAAGTTCAACCAAAGCAAATATATATGTGTACATACAAAAGAATGGGGGTGGTAGGAGAAGATAATATTAGTGTTCAGTGAGAAACCACAAGGTCTCCTCTGAATACTTTTTATTTTCTTCTCCGAGGTTATGGGTCCCCACATTGGCACCAGAGGTGGTATCCTCACAAACTTTTATTAAATATATATATATATATATATATATATATATATATATATATATATATATATATATATATATATATATATATATATATATTTTTAATTTGCAAGGGTACCACCTCTGGGGCCAATGTGGGGACCCATAGTCTCGGAGAAGAAAATAAAAAGTATTCAGAGGAGACCTTGTGGTTTCTCACTGAACACTAATATTATCTTCTCCTACCACCCCCATTCTTTTGTATGTATACATATATATTTGCTTTATTTGAACTTTGTTACAAAAAAGGAGTTACATATAGGTTACAAAGATATATATATATATATATATATATATATATATATATATATATATATATATATATATATATATATATATATATATATATATATATATGATATATATGCGAACAAGCCTGAATGGTCCCCAGGACAATATGCAACTGATATATATATATATATATATATATATATATATATATATATATATATATATATATATATATATATATTATATATATATATATATATATATATATATATATTATATATATATATATATATATATATATATATATATATATATATATAAAATATTATATATAATATAATATTTATATTTAAAATTTTCATTACACAAAAAGGGTTACAACATTGGTTACATGCAGGGTTCACGGCTACTTGTCACAAGTTGTAGATCTCGTCCAGCTCCTCAGATGGCGGGCAGCAACCATGGATGCAGTGAACATTTCCTCTCTGGATCGCCACACTAAGTCGCTGAAGGAGAAAACTGGCTGCTCTAGGGTCTCTAGCTGTTTCAATTAGCTTGGACCTCAGCTCCTTCAAAAATCTAGCAGCACTCTTACCCCAGGCACCAAGTGTCTCTGAGGTAATAGGAACAAAATTGTAGTGGTGATCAATGTAGCAGCACCTCCTGCCTGTGCAGCACTGAAGTCAATATTGGTGTTGGCTAAAGTTGAAACACAAGTGTAGTCCAACACCATCTGTCTACCATTCTTCCAGTGGTTCACCGTGATTCCGTCTGGGCGACCGTCAGGCTCATCAGAGGTGCGGGGCATTAGGTAACGGGGCTCTCTCTCTCTGCTGGACAACCGGCTGTGGTACGGCTTCTCTTAATAATGTCCTTAACCTCGCCGAGTCTTGCATGCCATTCTCCTGTCCTTTGGCAGAGAAGGCCATGCCGTCCGTACCTGTCGGCCACCGCCGCCGCAAATACACCTGTATTTGGTGTGGATTGGGGCAGCGAGGCAGAGAGCCACAGTAATTCAGAGGGCCTGCGGTGTGAGACGGGTGCCGGTTGCTGACATTGGAGTTGCTAATAGGAAGTCACTTGCATGGAGAGCTGCTACAGCTCTAAGTCGGGCATATTATATTATGCCCAACTTATATATATATATATATATATATATATATATATATATATATATATATATACACTCTATATATATAGAGAGAGTGGTTTCCTCCAAGGCTAAGAGTCCCCTTCTTCCAGCCAGAGGTGGTACTCCCATCCGTTGTTATATGCACACAAACACACAGACTCAAATACAAACCCACACACCCTTGCATCGCAGCTGAAAATAAAACAACGAAAAAGCGTTGAAGACTAATGTATTCATGATAAAAATACAAAGGAATTAAGTCATAAATTAATTGCAGTACACCCACAATGCTCTATGTACACAACAGACAAGCATATTCGCAACTCAAAAATCTTAGAAAAGGCCGATTGTGAAGTAATAGAGGACGGATAAGCCAAAACTCTTTACATATATATTTATATATACAGAGATAACTAGAGTAGGTCAAGAGCTCCTCCAGGAGTCGTCTCCTATCCATTTTATCCTAGAGTGGGGCGTGGGGGGGGGGGGGAAGGTGCATGTGGAGGCGGTCTATACAGGCTCTTAAATATACATACTGTTATGAAAATATAAAAATAATACAGCTATTATACAGACAATGATAACTTCTATTGCGATATCGTCTCCACTCAATAGCTCAATAGATTTCAAAATTTTTCTTTAGTTTTTTCTATTATAGGATAAGTAGGACAAGAATGTAAGATTAGTAAAATGATTTCTGTAGGGAGAGATCAGATTGATGTGTGAGTAAATAAAAAATATTATAGTTAATAAACAATACTTACTTGTCATAGGAGAGATATAACTTTGCAAAATATTATAATGAAAAATACAACAGTCGTTTACAAAAATTATTTTGTTCTAAAGACAATTAAATATAACAAGCAAACAATATAAATAAAGTAAATTAAAATACTTGTTTTTTTTTAATAATCATATCCGAAAATTGGTCCTCCTGCTTCATATGAGGCTCAAAATTCGGATAAAATTAGTCTTGAACTGAAAATTACCAATCTAACTCGTAAAAGAAAACTAAAAAAGATGATAAAATATAACCAATTGCTCCATACTGTAAATATTCGAAAAACAAATAGAAAATATAAACACAATTTTTTATGAATAGTTTCTAATAAAAAATATATATATAAAAAAGGAGGTATATAGGTAAATATCACATTCTGATATGAGATACATGAAGGTGAGTATGCCGTGAAAATTAGAATGACAAGCAAGAAAGCAATGAACGAGTCGTAGCATATAAAGGCTAATGTATGCACCATTGTGTTTTCTATAATGTCGACGTAGCTTCCTCTACTTCCTCTAAACCATTCTTTTTACCTAAGTTCTTTTTATTTCTCCCGTGATTGATCTCCACCTCGCAGATTACAAAGGCCTCCCCGTGGCTCGAAGATTTCCCACTTTCTACAATTTTGTGGGCAAATAATTTCGCGTGTTCAATCATTTCATGACATGGGGATTTCGCCTTTTCTGGTAGATGTTGTGTTATTGATTTCTTGCTGTCTACCGCGCAGAGTCCCGGAGACTTCCCATTTTCTGCCATAACTTGGCCCAAGGATTTACCGTCTTCGGTTACAGGGTTGCTGTTGTCTGCTAAAAGCGTTTGACTTGCTGAGCTCTTCATTCCTGCTTCAGTTCTGGCTTTCTTCTTAACCTTGGATTCTTGGAGCGCCTGCTTGAGTATTTCCTCTTGTTCTGGAGTGAATGACATCCTAGTATAGCAGTTCTTGATTGGATGCGGGGAGCCGGCCAGCTTTACCACGCCGCTGGGGGACTCTTGGTCGTTGGGACGGCCGCGGTCGTCGTGGTGGCCGTGGTCATCGGAGGCGTCCTCATCGCTGTGAGTGCTGTGACTCATCTCCTGCACGGTGCTCAGGCGTTCGTTCTCTCCCGCCACTGTCTCTGGCTTCGTCGGTGTCCTGCAGAGAAGACGGTGTTGTTAAGTTACAAATCATCCTGCAAAAGGAAAATAAGTATTTACTGAAAAATTATATCGCTATGATGGCAGGAACTGACGCTGTATACTTCTGGATGCTACTTGCCTGAGGGGAGAAACATTCCTCTGGAGTGAGTCCTGCGACCCTCCGATCATAGTGCCAAGGAGGGAGCCGTTGTTACTCTGCTGGGAGGCCCTGGCTGTGCGGGTCAAGTCACATAACGTGATCTGGGTGAGTGTAGAGTTGCGATGGTTGGGAGCGTTGACCACCGTATTGTGGGGTAAGGTGTTATTTACTGATGAGTAAGCGCCCTTATACCTGATGGAGCACAAAAGATGTAACGTTATGATGGGTCATGAGGTTGAAGTTGCTCCGACTTTCCTCCCCTCTTCCCCCTAGAGTAGCTTATTCATCTCACTCACCCGAACTCCCTGCCTTACGTGCTGACCTCAGGCGCTTACTTTATCTGTCACTTCTAAGACACGAGACACCTCCTATTTCCATTTAAGTTATTCGTATGTCCCATTTTCCATCTCGGTAACCTCATGCCCTCAAATTACCGAATATAAATCAAAATTTCATTCCCCTTTCCTAGTCACTTGAAAAGCTTTTAGCTCTATCCTCTTTTCTCGTCTCCTCTCATCTCTTTACAAGCATCTTATTCCACTTCTTCCTCACCATAAATCTCCCTCACTCCCACTCTCTCCATCACCTTCCCTCACTCCCACTCCATCGCCCTCCCTCACTCCCACTCTCTCCGTCACTCTCCCTCACTCCCAATCTCTCCATCACCTTCCCTCACTCCCACTCCATCGCCCTCCCTCACTCCCACTCTCTCCGTCACTCTCCCTCACTCCGAATCTCTCCATCACCTTCCCTCACTCTCACTCCATCGCCCTCCCTCACTCCCACTCTCTCCGTCACTCTCCCTCACTCCCACTCTCTCCATCACCTTCCCTCACTCCCACTCCATCGCCCTCCCTCACTCCCACTCTCTCCGTCACTCTCCCTCACTCCCAATCTCTCCATCACCTTCCCTCACTCCCACTCCATCACCCTCCCAGTCCCCAGCAGCACATACCTCATGGCCCGCTTGGTACAGAAGCCGTATCGGGCGAGCAGGATGAAGAGATCCCGTCGGTACTGCTTGGTAAGGATAGCATACAGGTAAGGATTGGCGCAGGAGTTGAGAGGGTAGAAGAACACAAGTAAGATCTTGGCTCTTGTGACGTTGATGAGAGGCACTCCAGCTACCGCTGTTAGCCTGGGGGACAGAAGGAGAAAGAAAAATGGATATATATATATATATATATATATATATATATATATATATATATATATATATATATATATATATATATATATATATATATATATATATATATATATATATATATATATATACATACATATGTATATACAAATTAAAATAATTGTTATTTTAAGTTTTAAAAATAGTTTTAAAAAATTTAAAATAAGTTGTTAACCTCTCCCTCAACGAATGCCAGTGGAAACAAGCCACTCTTCCTGTTAGGCTCGGTGGCTTGGGTGTCCGCACTGCTACCCAAATTGCTGTCCCAGCCTTCCTGTCTTCCTCCTCAGCATCAGATGACCTGGTTAAGGAAATTCTACCTGACACCCTGAGTGATGTAGCGGGGATACAGGACCCCCACTACACGGAATGCGACACGAAATGGGGTGCCATGGCAGACCCAGCACTCAGACCAGCCATGCCGAAAGCCAAGAAACAATCCAGTTGGGACAGTCCCATTGTAGACAAAGAAGCCACAGCTTTGCTGGAGGCAGCAACAACCCCCAGTGATCGTGCACGCCTCACAGCTGTGCAGGCTCCCCATGCAGGGGACTTCCTTTTGGCAGTCCCTATGTCTGCGACAGTCACACGTCTTGATCCGCAGGAGCTCCGTATTGCAGTCGCTCTCCGCCTTACTGCCCCTATCCACACTGTTCACAGGTGTATTTGCGGCGAGGCAGATGCTGACGAATATGGACTGCATGGCCTGCACTGTGGAAAATCTGGTGGTTGGCACACTAGACACGACGAAGTCAATAACATCATTAAAAGAAATCTTGCCTCTGCTCAGTGTCCAGCGGAGAGAGAGCCCCGCAACCTACTGAACCGTGACTCTGTTAGCTTTGCCGGCCGACCAGACGGAATTACACTGCGACCGTAGAAGGGTGGCAGACAGTTGGCATGGGACTATACTTGTGTATCCACCCTGGCAACCACATACATCAACCTCTCTGCCGGCACAGCAGGAGCCGCGGCGACACGCAGAGAAAGAGACAAGTCAGCCAAGTACAGGCAATTAGATCATCGGTACAACTTCGTTCCAATAGGGTCTGAGACCCTAGGCCCATGGGGAGAGAGTGCAAGAAGGTTTCTTAAGGATCTTGGTTCCAAGATCATTGACACCACAAGAGATCCTAGAGCAGCAAAGTTTTCTCTTTCAGCGCCTCAGTGTCGCGATCCAGAGGGGGAATGCTCGCTGCATCCTCGGTTCATGCCCGGCGTCGGAGGAGTTCGAGGAAATCTACAGCCTCTAGGAAGCGTTTTTTTTTGTGTCCTCTTAATGTTAATTTTTTGTATAAAATCAGATATGCAACTGTATAACCTTGCATAATAAAGTGTACACCATAAAAAAAAGGGGGGGGTGGTAGGAGAAGCGAACACTCTTATGTATTCAGAGTTAAATGGCAAGTTTTTCCCTGAATGCTCTGTGTTCCCTTCTCTGAGGCTGTGGGTCCCTATAATTGCACCAGTGGTGGTACCCCCCCCCCCAATCAAAATAATTACAAATTAAATATATGACATTTTCAAATAAAGTTAGATATATACACACATACCAAAAGAATAGGGGTGGTAGGAGAAGAAAATATCAATGTGTTCAGTGAGGATACACAAGGTCTTCTCTGAGTACTCTTAAATTTTCTTCTCCCAGGCAATGGGTCCCTACACTTGCACCAGAGGTGGTACCCCTTCTATATATATATATATATATATATATATATATATATATATATAATATATATATATATATATATATAATATACACACACACACATTTCAAAGCGTTAAGCATTATATGACAAAGAGTGCTGGGTAGACGGGACACCACGAGCGTAGCTCTCATCCTGTAACTACACCTGTAGGCTTAGGAATCTGTATATCAGTTGATTGACAGTTGAGAAGCGGGACCAAAGACCCAGAGCTCAACCCCCGTAAGCACAATTAGGTGAGTAGAATTAGGTGAGTACACTCACACACACACACACACACACACACACACACACACACACACACACACACACACACACACACACACACACACACACACACACACACACACACACACACACACACACACACACAAAGAAAGAATGAAGAGAGAGAAGGAAAGAAATTTATACACGTATTTAAACACTTTTTTTAGTCACAGAAATGAGATTCTCCAAATTTACGAGTTGTAATTATTTTCTCTCACAGCGTATAAATGTTGAGTTAATGACTAAATGTACCAAGCGCAATTATACGGGAATGGGGGACAAAAATCACGTCAGGACTTACCCGAAGAAGGCGATGGGGGCCCAGCAGGCGAAGTCTGTGAAGACAAGAAGAGCCATGCGCTTAGCCACAGTGAGGTCGGAGTGCGGGGCCGTGGCGTCGTGTCGACTAATAGAACAATACATGGAGGCGTAGCACGCGGTGATGACGAAGAACGCCAGGCCGTTGACAAGCAGGAGGGAGATGAGGTAGGCGAGGGCGAGGGCGTTCCCGGTCTCCATCGGCAGGCATATACTGTCGAGGTGAGGCCGGTGTGATTATTCGCTGAGAAATACAGACTTTATTTTCATTTTACTCTCTCTCACCTTTGGTCTTTGACACTTTATCTTTAATTCCCGGCCTCTTTTTACCCCGCTGCCTAAAAAAATGAACTTTTGGGTTCAGTTTCTAAACCGATTACGTGCCTCCGTAACCCTTTCCACCACCGCCCACGGGAAGGGTATGGGGTGCATAATAAAGAAAGAAATTAAATTAAATTGTCCTAACCCTGTTTTCGCTTTCTCGTTTTTAAGTGTGCCTCTTTCCTCCGCTCTCCATTACCCTGAACTTTATTTCTTCTCAGATACTTGGTAGTTTTGTTAGAAGGTATGAAACCTTGCCAACTTTCCAAATCCTCTGATAATTATTAGTAAATACATTTTAACGTGTTTATTTTTACACAATAACAATAATATCTTGTAGAAATTAGTCATAGAGTACCATTCTAGTTAAATCTTTTTTAAATAACACTTTATTGCAATTCAGTATTATCGACAGTTTATTATAACGAAAATTTTATTGTCTTTAGTGTTCGATAAGCCCCGTATTAGATACGGTGGTTATCTAAACAGGGAAGCACAGTAACCTTCAAGAATCAAATACAGTATAGTTTCTGAAACTTATTACAATGCCTCTCAAAATAAATAACAGCAAACCATAACAAATGTGTTCAGTACAAAAGAGTGTTAAGAAAGTAATCTTATCTTTGCAAGACGACAATGCTGTTCATTATAATGCAACTAAGTTAAGTAAATTACTTTTATTTGTTAATTCCACCAAATCTAAATTCCATCAAAATTTGAAATTCCACCTCGTGCAGTCTCCAAGTTTTAATAATTCAAAATAATTTGTAAACTACGTGACAATTAAAATTTTGCAGCTTCCTTTTCCATTGGAGGTCATGCACCTTTCACGGAAAGTCTTCCAAGCGGCCACTTATCACAAACTTAATTGGAGATTGGAAACACGTAAGAAGACTTTCCCATTTTTATTTTTATTTCATAAGTTTTAAAGTAGAATCCCCAACTGGGTTTGCAGGCGGCAATCAAATGATTATTTAATTTATTTAAGAAATAGTTGAGATGAAGAGAGCTGAAAGGTTAGGTGTGTCAAGGGAAAAGTTTATTGAGAAAAATATGAGTTGAAATATTGGCGAGTTAAGAGGACAAGTGTGGGTTCATCCAACGGTATCTAACAAAAATATTTGTTGAAAGAAATGTAGTATTAAAGTACATGAGTCCACAATGAAAATAGTGTGATATATCTTGAAGTTATCTGCTAGGAACACAATGCTTCTCCTACGGATCTATTCTAATAAGATGAGATCAAGAAAATAAAACACAGAAAGCCTTCCCTCTGGATTTGGAAAGGTTTCTAAATATTATTAAAATAAAATTAAGTGTCGGTTCAAAAAGGTCGTCTGAGAGAAAGACAGAGTGTAAATAATTTGAGAGAAAAAATAATTTAGTTAGAAAGAGATTTAAGAGAAAGATGGTTAGATAGGAAGAGAGCTAGTTGGAAAGGAAGACTGAAAATAAGATAGTTTGAGAAAACGGATGGTTTGAGAGAAACTTAATTGAAGAAAAGAAGGTTTGTGATGAATATATTTCAGATAAAGATGATTTAGGAAAAATGTTTATTTTATTTATGATTTTGAAGAAAGATGATGTAAGTTAAAAAATCGTCCAAGAGGAAGATGATACAAGCAAAAGATGATTCATGAGAAAAATAAGTGCATTGACAGAACATTTCACTGATTTTGTATTGCATTGCATTGTACTATTAATTCTTAAATTATTCATTGCAAGGTAGTATTCATTGTACTACTATTCATTATTTCATCCTATTATTAACTTTTTTAACACAGTAACGTAACACTATTGTTCTGGTATTTCAAGGACCTTTCCCCGTCACATTTTCTTGCAGGAGAGAACAGGTAAGAACAGTATGAGCCAGCATAGTGCTTGGTAGGAAGCTTATGGCCAATAAAAGAGGTCTGAGCGCCGTGGCAACAGAGCCGTGAGTGACCTCCCAGACCATAAGTCCCAGAGTATTACTTACAAAATGGGCTAGCGGGACGGAGGTGCAAGCCTCCACTACCAATGCACTACAGAAAATACATTGAATTACAGTATATTTCATTATAGTACAATGCAACTCTGAACAATGTAAAACTGTGTTTATTTTAGAAAAATACATTGAATCACCCACTACCCGCACAATACTTGAAAACGATAATGATGAAAATAAAATTTGGTGGTGGAATTCTGTTTCTCTTTTTTGTATTTATCTGTCCATTCGACACCGGCAGTAAGTGTCCAAGCTCTCTCTCCCCTGCGATGGCTCACCTACTGATGGCGGGTGGCAGCTAGGTCTTAAAACATGGCCTGAAGGTTATATAAAAGGCTGAATTTTGTTCACGAAGTGAAACGTTACATTTGTATGAACCAGAAGCCGAGAAGATGGGACTGTTTCAACCAGCAATGAGGAAAAGGCTGACCTACATGCAGACAACTTAAGGCCAAACTGCAGATCAAGAAACATATCCTCAACAGCTTGATATTAGCACCGTGTCAAGGTATTCGAAACATATAAGGCAATGCGGCAGAATAACGTCTGCTTGAGACTGTTACGAAGTTGTATAGCTTCTCACTCGTCTGTGCCAATTAGGTCTAGCTTAAATAACATCTTCATTTCTGTGGAAAATGGCAGATGTGCTTCCAGTCTTCGAAACGAAGAGCCATTCTTCGGTATGTAATTACAGACAAGCGTAACTGCCACGTTATTGACAGAATAATATCACAAAGATGACAACCGGCACCGGATATCATGTGGTCTACAAAATGGCTATAAGTAAGATCGTCCTGCCGCGGACATTTTTATATTTTCTACATTAAGTGGCATCAATTACCGTATGAGAAAGAGAGGGAGAGAGTGTGTGAGAGAAAGCGAAAGAGAGAGAGATTAAGCGAGGGAGAGTGACAGACATTCAAATTGACAGAAAACTTTATCCAACCATAATAACCTTTCCAAAAAAAAATCTATAACAAAAACAGCTGACTCCTCTCGCTAATGACATTCAAATCGGGATATTAATTTTTAACTCGTTGTTCACATGATAGCTGAAGGTGAAATGGTTTTGATGTGTTGATGTAAGTTAAATATTCATGATATGGAAGTTATTGCATTTGCCATTTACCGACATGTTTTCAATTCTGGCACCGTAATGGAGTAGAGTTATGATACAACGGCATTCAAAGAGAGCATCCAGGACATAAATGAAACGTAATAATTGGACCATTTTCTTTTATGACAACGTTGCCCAAATAATTCATTATGTGTATGGAGAGGAATACTTTTCTCGGAAACATGAACCATGTTAGGTTAATAGAGGTATCCTTAACCATGATCAAGGTTTTCCATGTGGTTACCCATCCAGTCACAAGCCAGATCCAACGGTTCCTAGCCGAGTGTCGCTTTCAAACGTTAATGCAAAAATCGAGCAATAATTCTAAATTAATTTATATGTTAATTTATATGTTATTACCATCTTAAAGCAAGAGTTTTTTTCATCTTATGTGCTCTTCATTGACCTGCGTGACACCGATGATAGCCGACTAACCTCGTTTTGCTATAGCTGGAGATGCCTAGGAGGGGTAAGGCTGCCATAGTGATGGAGTAGGTCCAGCCCACGACCATTATCTTGACTGCCATGGAGAGTTTGAGTCGCTTGTTGAGGTGGATGGCGTAGGTGATGGCGTACCAGCGCTCCGAGGTGATCACCGTTAGAGTAAAGATGGACAGCTCTGATGCGAAGACAGTCAGAAACCCGGCTACCTTACACCCTGGACCTGAGGAAACATGACATAATTGTGACAGGAATATCGCTTTATGATTGTGTGTCTCTCGCTCTATCACTCCCCTAATAATTCGCCTAATCTCTCTCTCAACTGTAGTCCAACCACTTTGGCTGGACGGTAGAGCAACGGTCTCGCTTCATGCAGATCGGCGTTCAATCCCTGACCGTCTAAGTGGTTGGGCACCATTCCTTCCCCCCGTCCCATCCCAAATCCTTACCCTGAACCCTTCCAAGTGCTATATAGTCGTAATGACTTGGCGCTTTCTCATGATAGTTCCCTTCCCTTCTCTCAACTGTATTATATTTCTCCTCTCTCGCACTTGTTCTCGCATTCTCTCTCTATGCAAGTCTCTTTATCAGCATATTTATGTCCTGAGAACATGTGATCGAGTGTGTTTGAAAATCTTATTAATAATTCGTTGGTTCATTCAGATCTCACACGATCCAGAAATCCTTCAGTCTTTTTTCATTTGTTTATTCAACAGCTTCATAATTAAATTCACTCACCAGAATCCATATTCCTTCCACGCCTCTACATACATCAGTCCTTATATTTAGTCAACAGATAGCACGCGGAATCAATAATTTATCTCAACCAATAAAGTAAATACAAGAAATAAAACCGTGAATGAGCATATTCGCTTTATAAATATAATTTTGTTAATGATTATAATACTTCGAAAATTAAGAGCATTATTTCGTTTTTGAAAACCTTTAAAATAATAACAACAACAAAAACAGTTACAAATTTTAGATATAAAAATATTAAATTATGAATTTAATTTCTTATAATTTCGCCTAATTAAAATTACAGTGAAATTACAATTGCCACGGGTAATTTTTCATTCTAAACTGAGGTTTAGCTGGAACAACCATTTTCACAAATAAATTAGTTGTCAAAACAATTGTTTTTTAATATGTATAACGCAAAATTTAAGAGTACCGAAAGATCCCCAATTTATAATGCGCGTCCTTAAAAACTGTGACTCAAGTATTTAGTGTATTCACTGTATTCACTATTATTATCGCCCAACAATAATAGTGACTACTAACAGCCTGCAAGCGTTGTAGTACTCGGACCATCACCCCGCTCCACCCTCCAAAACAATTAAGTCTTCGTCCTGACTCGAACCCCTGTATTCCCCTTGTCTCTGTTTGGCTAAATTACAGGTGAGGAGCGGGGATCCTGAGAGCAGAGAAGGGTATATTTCCATGGCCAGGCTTGTTTTCCAAATATGTATCACATTTTCTCTTACTATCCCTTTCACAATGGTGGAACAAGACTATGGTAGTTGCACTGCATTAATGGTTTTAATTGTGCTACTCAGGAAAGGAAAAATATTTATATTTTAAAATTGATATGAGTTTATAAAGTCTGTTATCATGGATATCAACAATACAATAAGAAAATTTCAACTTTTGTTATCTGCATCGTTCAAATGATGACATGAACTCCACTGGGAAATTATGAAGTTTACACCATCACTCGAGGCATCTGCGTCGGACCTTATCTCCTGATTACTCCATCTTGATGACTGTAGTTTCTCCAGCAGGGAGTGACTAAACTGCCCTGAGGAAAGTGCCCAGAGAAATTACTAATCGCGAAGAGTGCCTTAGAAACTTAGCACAGCCTAAAAATAGTTAGAAACTTTGGGCTTAAAGTGCTCAAGAAAATATGCCTCTCATAAAGTGTTAAAGTCCTATGGAAAGTGCTCTGAAAAACATGCTCTAATTTCTTAGATAATTACACTCTTCAGGAACGTCTCTGGAGTTGTGATCTTCAAGACGAGAAAACTGTGTCCTGCTTGGAACGATCAGGAAATTATGCCTCGGAGTGAGATGCTGGGAGGGATGGTGTTGTGAGGGAGAAATATGAAGAGGGAAAGAAGAGAAAAGTGAGAGAAGTGAGGAGGGATAGATATAAAGGGGAAAAGAGTAGTATGAAGTAAAGAAACAGTAAGATAGGTGAGGTCAAGATACAAAGCGATATAGGAAATTAGAGAGGAAAGTAGGGAAGGTAATTAACACAGAAGGGAGGATCATTGTTGAAAATATGAGTAGGAAGAGTTATGAGAATGAAATGATGGTATTTGTCACAAGGAATAATGAATAGGGGAAACAATTGAAAAGGATGAAGAGGCACAAAGAAGAGTCGTAAACAAGGGACATAGGGAGAAAGAAGAGGTAGAATGGAAGGTAGAGATAGGAAGAGGATGGAAAGATAAGAAAGGAGAGTCAGGATGGAAGGCAGGGAGAGAGGGAGGATGGAAAGGTAAGGAAACAAGGAAGGAGAGAACAAAATAGTTTAGAAAGCAGCATGAAACATTACGACCTTGTGAAGGATCGATGACGGTAAAGAGTGACGTCTGGACTCCCGTCTTCACCAGCACCTCCCAACGCAAGACGTTGATGAACAGTAAGACTTTTATCCTGACTGATCTCAGTATATATATATACATATACTCATCATATATTTAAATTTGTGTGTGTGTGTGTGTTGAATTGTTGAATATGAGCAATAAGCTACATCAATGATTCTACAACGAATATTTATATTGTTCTTATTTACTTATTCACTTCAGAAGAACGTTGGCATACAGTACCTACTGTATAGTAGACATCAGGTATGAAGTCAACGTCAACAATTAATTTCTCCTTATACAAACAATTTGACAATTAAATAGTCTTGCGAGTTTTTACATTGGTACAATTAAGGACAAATTCCTTGTTGCTCAGACCTTGAACCTGATATCTACTGTAAATTTGTTGATCATATCTTCTTGCAATCACCTGACACTGAACGCTTGCTACAGCGAATTCTGGTGAAGGTAAGTCGTATTTCTTTGGTATAAAAGACCCAGAATTTTGTTTTGACTTTCACGCTTGTGAGAACTAACATAGGACTGTGCCTTAATGCTGCTAGTGTTTGATTAAAACAAAGTTTTGTCAACACCAATGTTAACCATGCTCTTAAACACTACTTCAGGTGGAAGACAAGTTGACTACGCACTCAGCAGAGTAAAATAAATTCTTGTTAATGGATACGCTACCAGTTATGACCACAAAACGGAAGAAAGACATATATGAAGGACATTATAAACAAAAAGGTGACCCCTACCAACACTATCTTCAATATAAAGACAACAAGCAAAATGCTTTAAGATCGTCTATGCCCTAACATGCCCACCTCGAGACTATCGCATCTTGTAACTCAGTATATATATATAAAGGAACAAAAAGGTTCAAAGATCAAATGATCTCTACCCGCAACCAGACCATCATCATCAGAGATATCTTGTCAAACAGCATCAAAATAATTAGCAGAGACAATGGCATTAGACTATTAGACACATCTGAATGACTATATGTAAAACATCTAATTATTAACAGCAGGCTTTTCCCTGTGTACACCTTACCATCATAGAAACCAAGAGAAAATGTTCACCTCAAACCTCATCTTCTGCCCCAGCCGACATGGACTGTGTAACCCCTCATTTCATCTCATTCTTCTTGGTGTATATAATGTATAAACTGCTATGAATCTAGGCAGTGATCGTATAGTGGTTAGTACATTGCGTTGTGTGTGTATGAATCTACTTTCCTAATCCATCCACAGACGTTAAATTAATTCTGGAAACCAAATATTTTCAGCACCCTTTCCAAGTGAACAAAAACATACGAGGTATAATCATAACACCAATTATTTAATATAACAATTTAATATAACACTTACCATTCTGCCAGTCAATGGCGTGGTTGAAGTATACGCCGATGGTGTGGAGGTCCATAACTGCTATAATGAGGAGATAGAGGCCCATGCAGAGGTCGGCCAGGGCAAGGTTCACCATCAGGAACTTGCTCACCGTCATTCTTGAAGAAGGATTACAAGAGTAGTAAAACGGAGAAGGTCGCCTGGGGTACGCCCTGGCGTCAAGAGTTTGTTCAAGTTTCCTGAGGGTGGCGCGTCTGGGTTGAGGAGGAGAGAGAGAGGAGTCACGGCAGGGCGAGGGATGCCACGGAGGGAGGGAAGGGAAGGAGAGAGGGAGGGAAGCAGAGAAGGAGGAAGTGAGGGATGTAGTAGAGGAAACAGTGTGCTACGACTGTGGTGTGATGGAGACGAAAGGAGTCAAGGCAGCTTATAAGGACTCAGAGAGAAAGAAAGAGAGAGAGAGAGAGGACGTGAAGGAAAGAGGGATTAATCAAGCAGGAAAGGGAGGGAAAGAAGTTTACTTTAGGAAGCGAGGGCTGAGGGTGGAAGGTTAGCTTTTAGTGGCGGACCCGATCAGACACCTGTTCACGTCATGTCCATATTTGTGCCATGTTATAATCTTTCATTTTTTGTTTTATTGCCGCAATCGTTACTGTTATACTGTTTTTGCTATTGTAATTATATAATACTATCAATTATTAGTATAATTATCAAAATAATAATAAAAATTATTACTATAATTATAAAAATATAATATATAATATTTATTTGAACTAATATTATTATTGCTCTAATAAGGATTTAATGTTAGTCATATTATATGATGTTAATTATTATTAATTATTATTTTTATTTTTATCAATATTATTTATTAATTAAGTCAAATTAAACAAATATTTACTTATGGCTCGATAGTGATCTTTGTGCTCAAAACTACAAATTCACTTTTCCTCTGCATTTGCCTGTAGCAGTAAGGGTATATTTACAGTTTATTGAATGCCATCTTGCATTAAATTTCATTCGTTTTAAAGATATTTGAGTTGGTGTAGTGACTAGGTTTAAGACACGAGGAAGCTCAATAATGCGACGTGTTTTACATGAACTCAATCGACGGGTTTTATGTTAATGGATTAATGTCTCGTATTTGTATGTGTTGTATATCTGGTGCCTTTCAAAGTTTAAACAGGCGGAAGCTTTAATACACGAGGAGGGTCGAGGTGGAGAGCCTACCGCCTCCATTAGGCCAACAGGCAACTGTCGTGTTACGCTCCAATCAAATGCAGTTTAACTGGCACATGACATCCTGTGCCAGTTAAACTGTCTTCTCTCGTTGGCTGCAATAAGTCATTTGACTTATCAGGTATCGTCTGGGGATTGACGTCAAACTCTACTAGGCGTCATCCTATTTAAATGAAAATAATATTTACAAATAAACTAGATTTTATACTTGTTATCTACTTGTATTCATCTAATATACTTATTATATTATCTGACAGTCCTTCATGGTAGTTGTGGACAAGTATGACTCACAAAGAAGGATCGAGTTTGTTATAAACCGTAACATCGTTTGTAAGTAATTACCTAAGTGTAGGTACAGGATGAGAGCTCCGCTCGTGGTGTCCCGTCTTCCCGACACTCTTTGTCATATAACGCATTGAAACTACTGACGGTTTTGACCCCACCACCTTCTCACTTAACTTGTTCCAATCGTCTACCAATACTCGGTTTGCAAAATAAAACTTTTTTCATATTTTTTTCGGCATCTTTGTTTCCTTAGCTTGATTATGGTTCCTCTTAACACAGTGTCCTTAAGAGTGAGTACTCACTTAGTTGTACTCACCTAGTTGTGCTTGTGTGGGTAGAGCTTCGGCTCTTTGGTCTTGCATCTAAACTGTCAATCAACTGGCGTACAGATTCTGGAGCCTACTGGGCTCTATCATATCTACATTCGAAACTGTGTATGGAGTCAGCCTCCATTACATCACTGCTTAATGTATTCCATCTGTTAACTACACTGACACCGAAAAAAATTATTTCTAATGTTTCTGTGGTTCATTTGGGTACTATGTTTCCTCCTGTGTTCCCCTTGTCACCTTAGTGTGTGTTTGTGTGTGTGTGTGTGTGTGTGTGTGCGTGCGCGCATATATATATGTATATATATATATATATATATATATATATATATATATATATATATATATATATATATATATATATATATAATGTGTGTGTGTGTGTGTGTGTGTATATGTGCGTGTGTGGGTGGGTGTGTAGATATGTGAGTTTGTCTATATTTGCACACATTTTTGTGTCCAAAATCTGTCCTTGATATTGAATTCTAAAAGTACGAATCCATTGATGAGGGTTCTCATGTGTAGATCTCATGGGTGATCCTCATTTTCATCGATATAGTCGATGAAACTGCAGCAAACATGGTGACGGCCACGTTCTCATTTGAGCCAGTGGTGGAAATGTAGTGCTTTAAGACCGGAGAGGAAGATAAAATATCAGAATAGTGATATAAGTAAAAAGGAAGGAAATACAACTTACATTATCATAAGTAAAAGAATATCATTTGATTCAATATGAACACTACACTGGGGCACTCAGGAAAACATTGAACAAAATCTAGACAATGATTAACTTATGTCATTGAAAAAGAAGTATGACTTCACACACACATACATTTGGCACACGAGATTAAGTATAAGAATAGGATGTGCACAGAAAGTGTGATAGTAAACAAAATTTACACCTGAAACACTAACATAAATGAGTTAAACTTTAAAAAAAGTGAGCACAAACATAATAAGTAAAAATAACATTCTCTCTGACATTATTATATAGAATGTAAGATATTTATGAATTAAAAAAAGGAATTTAAGTATGAATATTGATATTTTGTAGATAATGTTGTACATTACAGATTCTGAAGAAAGGTTAGAAACTAGGGATATAATACAAAGATTTTTAGTTCAAAAGTCAAGAACGCGTGTGAAAACAAATCCTTTAGTGAATCAGTACACACATGAAGAAAGAGATATACGTGCAATTTATAAATCAGTACACTAAAATAACCAAAAGATCCCCCATTGCAAATAATTCTGAAAAATGAGAAGTAAAACCTAATCTAACCTACCCTACGTATACTATTAGCGATAATGCGCCAAATATAATACAAATATGTGCTATATTAGGACTGAGATAAGTTAGGCTCGGAATAAAGCAGACTTGATAAGAGCTTGGCTTAGTTAGGTGAGGTTGATCCCTCTGGCATTATTTCTACTGAGCCGCAGACTTAGTAAACAAAGGGCTTTAACTTCTGGTTTTTTAGTGTTGGAGGAAGTTTGGGTGCTCTGTGAAGATTAAACCTGTCATCTCCGAGAAAACCGTAGCACGCAATACAGGCTTTACTGATGTTGCAATAAATATAACATGACCTTGTTATTAATGAAGAGAGAGAATATTGCAATCAGAAGTGTTATACACAGAAGAATATTCCTGTTTATTTAATCATTTCAGGGTTTTAATTTTTAATTTTCACCTTCAGTTTCTTATTTATTACTTTCAGCTGTTGCTTCTGTCTTCTCTTTTATTTTACGTGTTTTTAGCTACTATTCTCCCCACCCTGTCTTCTTATTCAGGTTTTATTTCCACCTCGTTTGATTTCCCTCTTGCTCAAGTTACTTCAGCGGAAACGTTGTTCATAACTCACTGGAAAAGTGTTACGTTAATCGTGTAGCCTTAAGATTCGAAATTCCTATTGTGGGAATCATGATACACTGGATTTGAGAAATTAAATTTTCCTCTTATCCAAAAGGTCACATTTTTTCTGTGATCTATCATACTTAAGTATTGATTCTTTCATTTTCAAATTTCACCTAAATTGGAAGTTTAAACCTGATCGACATCAAGGAAGCGAACGGTCTTATCCAGACTGGTTATATCTCTATTAAAAGTAATAATGTGTTATTGTCTGTTATGACTTAAGTAGCTTACTTTTACTTAAAAACCCGAGAGTTCTAGTGTTCTAGACACTTCACTGTTCTTAACCTCATTCGTAACAGTAAGAAACTTTGTCTGATCTCACCAAAATCCTTAATATCACCAGAAATGAAGATACAAATATTTTCTAAACCTCCCTGTTTGTTGTCATACATGACTTCCCAAATGGAGATCTTACTTAAACTTGGAGGAGATGAGGACAATGATGACGGCCAGGTTGCCGAGCACGGCCGTCACCACCACCAGCCACACAGCCACACGCAGCGCCAGGTTCCCCATGATGTCCTCGCAGGGGTTGAAGGCGTCAGGCTCCGGCACACAAAGGACGTAGTGGTAGTCTTTGGACAAGTTGCCGCAGGGGATAAAGCGGGTCTCATTCTTCGGCAGCGGCTAGGAGAGGGAGCGAGAAACAAGAAAATTTCAGTAGATACATGGACACATATACATGTATACACGAACAGACGTTGAAAACTTCATCTAACTCACTATGCAAAATTGTTATGAATAAAATATGTAAAAAATGTCGTTAGAAAATGCAATTCACCCGTTCATAAAATAATTATCATAAACAAATGATAATTTGTTATAATTAAATAAACAAATCTAATGTTTACATTCCCTCTAAAAAGCAATTAGTCAATACAGTCACAATGTATAATATATTGTGACTGTATTGACTAATTACTTTTTAGAGGGAATGTAAACATTAGATTTATACGCTTTCATTACTTGCGAGAAAATACTTCGTTAGATTTGCCTGAAGAAAAGCGAACTATAAAGCATTAGACAAATGTTTCATATAGAAAATGCAGATCTAGATCAAACTATAATTAATATTTCTTGAAGTTTGTAAAGTGATGCAACACTCTCTAAAGGGAAAAACTTCGAACGTACCACTGAAGGGTGCCAGCCAGAATCAGGGGCGTTCTTTTTTTTGGAACTGACTTCGTCTTTTCCAGGTACCAAAGAAAAGCCTCCATCTTTAGGGAACCCTTCACTTGAGTACTGATGCCCGTTGTCCTCAATAGGAAATCCTTGAGTATTGTTCTGCCCAGAGATGACACCGTACGTCTTGTCATCTCCGGAGTCCAAGGCAGGCAAGTGCTCCATCCGCTCCTGGGGATATCATTGGTCTGACAAACGATAACGTCATGAGGATGATGACCTAATAATGTATTTGTATAGAGCTTATGTGTTGTCTTATGGCTTCGGCTGTGGAATTCAGAGATAGCAAGTTGACCATTAGTGTAGGGAGACTTGGCAGAGACGGAAATTTGTAATACTCTACGTTTGTCTTACACTAATATTTTAGTCTCATCTTGATTCTCATGTATTCCTATTCTTTGTCTATTAACATAGTCACTTAGTTTTATCTGTTTCTCACCTGAGTGATTGTCTGAATGTCTTTCTCTCTGCCTCTGTACCGTTTTCTCTGTCTGTCTGTGTCTCTTTCGCTTTCTTTCCATTCTAGGTAGATGTACAACTTAGTCATCATTGGAATTAACGCTGGCATTAATCCACTGAAACAATGTTATCCACTTTGCTTCTCGTTAAGCAGGTGGTTGTGTAAGCAATGAACACATGCTGTGAATGCCAGCAATAAAGGCTGTGTGTACTGTGTGGTTTTGTGTTCTTATTGGCTGTACATTATATATATATACATATATATATATATATATATATATATATATATATATATATATATATATATATATATATATATATATATATTAGTATATTTTGGTAGCAGTCTTTCCTGTAGACATATATTATAAAATATGACCGAAAAAGTAAGATTAATAATTCTAACACGAATTTTCTCGATCTTTCTTACGTTTCTTTTCACTGTTGATGGTAATTCAAAAATCAATTCTCCAAAATTCATTTTTATTTCTAGTCTGACGCGACACTTGAGCGCGTTTCATAAAACTTATTACATTTTCAAAGACTTTAGCTTACACACACACACACACAACTTTAACTGAATAGAGCTTAAACATCTTCGAGTTTTTTATACCTACATTTGGGTGAAGTGACATGTTACAATAGTTTTGGATGAGGTGAAAATAAACTTTTAACACAAGACAGGACACGAAACAATGTAATACAAACAGGTATTAAAGGTAGGTAACAGCAGAAGGCCTATTTTTATTGGCCCATATTTCTTGATGCTTCTATATTGGAGCTATATATGAACTCCAATATAGAAGCATCAAGAAATATGGGCCAATAAAAATAGGCCTTCTGCAGTTACCTACCTTTAATACCTGTTTGTATTACATTGTTTCGTGTCCTGTCTTGTGTTAAAAGTTTATTTTCACCTCATCCAAAACTATTGTAACATGTCACTTCACCCAAATGTAGGTATAAAAAACTCGAAGATGTTTAAGCTCTATTCAGTTAAAGTTGTGTGTGTGTGTGTGTAAGCTAAAGTCTTTGAAAATGTAATAAGTTTTACGAAACGCGCTCAAGTGTCGCGTCAGACTAGAAATAAAAATGAATTTTGGAGAATTGATTTTTGAATTACCATCAACAGTGAAAAGAAACGTAAGAAAGATCGAGAAAATTCGTGTTAGAATTATTAATCTTACTTTTTCGGTCATATTTAATAATATATATATATATATATATATATATATATATATATATATATATATATATATATATATATATATATATATATAAATATATATAATTTGGGGTGGGGTGGATGAAGAATTTATTGACCGGCAGAGAAGTTTTTAGTGGTTGTGTTTTGTTTGAAGAGATAAGCTATGCGTTGTTTCTGTTGTGTTTTTGTGTTCTTTGTTGTGCATGGGTGTACTGAGGTGTACTGGATGTATTCTTAGGTTATGAAGGCTATAAATGAGTGTTGATAGCGCAGCCTGCGAACTTATCTCATGATGTCGCTGTTTAGAAATTTATATAATGAGCATTTAAAAATTCAAAATTATGAGCATTAATTAACTGGAGTTTTTTTTTATATATGAATCAAAGACAAAGTAAAAGAGGTAACACTCTAGGGCTCTAGGCAACCTACCGGGTCATGCCCTCCGCTGCTCTGGGAAGAGTCGTTCCTCCTGATGGAGAGTCCATGGAATCTGTTGGAGGTGGAGTTGAAATTTCCGAAGCCTGAGTAAGGAGTATGGTATCCGCCTATCGCACCACCTCCAATAAAGCTTTCGTCAACTTCCTGTTGGGTGTGAGAGTTCTCGTCTGTGTGAAACCTCTTTTCTGGATAAGGTATTAGCTCCTTTTCTGGTTCTCTCATTAACGCTGCTGTTCGCTGATCTTGCTGTGACGTTGGGAGAAGGTTATAGCGGGTCACATCACCGGTGTCAGAAAGTCCCACGAGTTCTGAGTGCTCACCACGACGGGACCGAGACATCAAGTCTTCCAATTTATGTTCCGTCATGAACATTCCCGTACCTTTATAATCCGGATTTAATGCAAGTTTGAGTCTGGCACGATGGGCGTGATGCCCCTTATGACGAGTCCGTGAATGGGCAGCGTTTACTGGGGATAAAGAATATGACCCGCTATCTAGCCGCATCTTCCAGTAACGTGAGACAGCATCAGAGCTTGTGGCTGGACTGTGAACAGACAGTTTGTAACTTTCACGCTTCGCGTCCCTTGCCATCATGGTGCTAGTAGGGAGTGGGAGACTAACCACACCACCAGACTCTCTGGATAAGGAGCTTTCCCATCTGTCATCTGGCTCGCTCTGTCCTGAACTATCTTCAGGGACGGTCTCGGTAATTGTAGATGTGATAATATGACTTGGAAATCCTTCCATTGGAGCAATATATGTGGGAAACGCCTGGCGGGGTCTCGAGCGAATAGTAGACGCCATTACAGGAATGTTTGGAGTTGTCAAGTCTGAGCACAGCTCTTCCATTTTACGAATGAATTCCTGGTTAGAAGATAATATTAAAAAGTGTCATAAAAGACTGGAAGAGAGAAAGAGAATGAGAACAGGATATATATATATATATATATATATATATATATATATATATATATATATATATATATATATATATATATATATATGTCGTACCTAGTAGCCAGAACGCACTTCTCAGCCTACTATGCAAGGCCCGATTTGCCTAATAAGCCAAGTTTTTCATGAATTAATTGTTTTTCATCAACCTAACCTACCTAACCTAACCTAACCTAACTTTTTTGGCTACCTAACCTAACCTAACCTATAGAGATAGGTTAGGTTAGGTTAGGTAGGGTTGGTTAGGTTCGGTCATATATCTACGTTAATTTTAACTCCAATAAAAAAAATTGACTTCATACATAATGAAATGGGTAGCTTTATCATTTCATAAGAAAAAAATTAGTGAAAATATATTAATTCAGGAAAATTTGGCTTATTTGGCAAATCGGGCCTTGCATAGTAGGCCAAAAAGTGCGTTCTGGCTACTAGGTACGACATATATATATATATATATATATATATATATATATATATATATATATATATATATATATATATATATATATATATATATATATATATATATATATATATATATATAGTATCCACCAGGCAAATGAACTATCGATTAGGTATCCAATAGGAAAATGAAAGGAAAGTTCCAAACGTTTTCGTGTTTTAACACATTAATAAGGAATTAAATGGGAACTTCATTTTCTTAGTGGATACTTACGCATAACGGAATCATGTATTTTTTGTAATTACTCTTGGCAATAAACAGGAGGGCGAGTGATTCATAAGGGTGATGGAGAGATTAGTGCGAGGGAGACATCGGTGAGGCAGATATAAATAAGCAACAGAAGCAAGGTAGACAGAAACTGTTCCAATAATATTTCACAATCAAGGACAGCAATTGGATGTAATCAGTATTTGACATAATGTCCAAATTTCCTAATATAAACACATTTTTTCATATAAATTAATTACTAAATTATATCTGTTCATGCCAATCAAAATTCTCAAATATCACCAGGAATGATTCATCATAATGGAATTCTGATGAATTATTGTTTAATTGTGATGAAAAATACTAATTCAATCATAAACTGAGAAAAAGAATACTAAAAATATCGTGTTGAACAGTACTCGAGAAGAAGTTGTGAAGAAAGATGCACTTGAGGAACCTTCTGACGTACCTGGTGCCTGATGTACTGCTTGGGGTCGTGCTGCTCAGGGAACTGGAAGGCGCAGCAGTGGTAGGGATAGGTGAGGTGGGCCTCCTTGATCGACTTGAAGGAGTAGATGGAGGGGAACACCTTGAGGCTCGGCGTCTTTTCCAAGTACAGGAAATCCAGGTCGGTTAATCCCAGCGTCGGGAGTGAGGTGATGGAGGTCTCGGACAGGTCCCTGGCCCCCATGAAAACATTTGTTTAGCTCCTTTAGGGAATAAGGAATTCAGGCTATGTCTTGGAAGGGTTTCCCCCTGTTCTTCTTAAGCTTTGTTATCATTTGCATTCATTGTTATTTTATTTTCGTAACAAAATTATTTATAAATGCTTTACATAAAAATATATAAATTTCCACTGAATGATCATTTTTCAATATATAAGAATTTTTTACTTCTTGAAGTGATTGAAGACATATGCTATCACCAGTTATTACAATATGAAGACTCTTTTCAACGGTGTTATCATTTAGTCACTCAGAACAGGCACACAAGGATTTGAAAATATCATCTTCCCGTAGTATTCAAATATACTCCCAAAAACTATATGCAGATAGTCACGGAAAAAACAACAACACGCAAACAATACAAAACATTCATTCCATTGCCAAATAAGTCAACTTAAGGCAACTAGGAAAATATAAGTCATATACAGAAATTTAATAAAATGTAGAACCCATCTCAAATTATCAAAATCTATATAATATTCCTCCAGTCTGGCATAAATAAGCTTGCGGGTACGCGAACATTGATTATCAGAGAAGCAAGTTATAAAAATAGCACACATCACGTTACCTCTCCTGTAATCTAAGAAGCATGTAAATAGACATTTAATTGAAATTATATCAGAGAAAAGCTGAAAATTGGGGCTCCAATTTAACAAAGGCGAAGGTTACAACGATGCGTGGGAGGTCTGGAACGATATTGCACAACATAATTTTAATATACACATTTCTATTCTCTCACATCTCTGAGCTCCAGCAAAAGTTAGGAGCGCGCAGGTGTAAGAACATAAAGCAAGTGAATAAGAGGCAGTAGGAGATTTTTAAGACAGGGCACGAAAAGGAATAAAGATATAAGGCAGAAACTTTATGTAAATGATAGAGCTGAAAGGAGGAGATGAAAGAAAGCAGCAGATAATACCACTAACACACTATCGTTATTGGATAACATTTTCTTCGATGTGTTTTTGTGCATGCCGGGTCAGACTGGGTACGAACTATACAAACTATAATAAATATATACATATGTATATATATATATATATATATATATATATATATATATATATATATATATATATATATATATATATATATATATATATATATATATATATATATATATATATATATATATAGTATTCAACAACAAATCACACATTTTTTAAATAACGATACTAAATGGGAATATATACGACATACCAATGTATGTCAGCACATCTATTCTCTTTATCTGTGTCTAAAAGGCCTTATCTACGTGCCTTTGTCTCTCGGCTTGTGCCCCTCTTAGCCTCGTTATTTCTTTCTGACTTTATCTCTCTGTGTTCCCTATTTTTCTGACTGTGTGTGTGTGTCTCTATACCATTGTATTTGGTCTCTCTGTGTATCCGTGCCTGTACCCCTGTGGATATTTCTTTGTGTCTGTTTTTCACTCTGTCTCTCTGTCATTTCTTTGTCTCTCTCTGTCCCAGTGATCATGTCTCCCGTAGTCTTTTGTCTTCCAGTGTCGTGTGGTGTATTTCACGCCGCCTATCCTCGTAACTCATGCCTCTTAGTTTTGGGACTAGCTTAGTGGCATACCTCAGAACTTTTTCCAGCTTCGTCGTGTACTTGGCAAGGTATGGGCTCCATGCTGGGGCCGCATACTCCAGGATTGTTCTTACATACTTGGTATATAAGGTTCTGAATGATTCCTTGTGTGTGTGTGTGTGTGTGTGTGTGTGTGTGTGTGTGTGTGTGTGTGTGTGTGTGTGTGTGTGTGTGTGTGTGTGTGTGTGTGTGTGTGTGTGTGTGTGTGTGTGTGTGTGTGTGTGTGTGTGTGTGTGTGTTTGTGTGTGTTGGTTTGTGTGTGCTCAATAAACAATAGTTATTAGAATGTGTGGAAATGTACTTTTCATACAAATTCAACACACATTTGATAAATCATCTCATACACATTCCAGTACAAATAAATTTCGCAACACTTTGCAACATTTCAGAAAATACTTTAATTTCTCGCAACACTAGTCATTGCAGCGTGCTAGGCGCAATTAGCATATCCTTCCAAT